GCGTGCCGGAGTCTTGGTCCACCTGCGGGCAGCATTTTTTTTCTGATTTTGAATACGTTGCTATCCTTGGTATCGGTGGAGGTCAGCAAGGGGGCCTGTGTTTTTGAAAACTTAAAAAGTTTAGTCCTTAAATTTTATTTGGCTTAAGTATGGGAAAAGGACCCTAACTTTTAGTAAATTCTCAATTGAGGTCCTTAACATTTATTGCACTCAATTAAGGTCTTGAACTCATATAAACTCTCAAATTAGGACCCAATTGGATGGAACCCTAACATCCGTCAATTCTCACTTGATTGTCCGTTGCGGTTTGTTACTCCGTCAATACGTGGCATGCCAACTATACCCATAAGGCTGATTGTAAAAAAATTATATTCCTACGTGGCATGTGTGATCCCATGGCTCCTTTTTCTCCCATCTCTCTTCTTCTTTCCTATTCACGATTTGGGGGTGAATTCCCTAGAATTTTCAATCTACCTCTCTTCCTGCAAGATCTTCTTCTCCACCCAATAGCAGCCTACCCAATCCTTGGAACTTCTCCGCCTAACAGCCTACCTCTCTCCCTGCAAGATCTTCTAAGGCTCTATGCAGATATACTTTCATTTCAACTGAATTCCCTCAGAATTATGGATGACTTCTTCATTTTTGTTTCTGGGTTTTGCTGAGCTTGAGCCGCTCTGTTTTGGGGCTGTTCTTGGTGGCGAGATGGAGTTTGGTGGCGTCATAGAATCGTTCCTTGACATGCCGGCAATTCGTTGATGTTGAGAATGAGGTTGGAAGAGAGAGGAGTGAAGAGGGAGTGAAATAAAGAGTAAAGGTGAGATCTGAGTGGCTCAGGAATGAGGTTGCTGGTCATGGAGCGGAAGAGCATCATGGTTCCGGTAAAGGAGGTAGAGGTGGAGAGCAATGTTATGCAGATTGGGCATGTCCGAAAGGGAAAACCTAACAGCCATTTTTGAATTGATATTCGAGAAATTGGTTGTGAAGAAACTGGGGTTGAATCTCGTGTTTTCATCTTAGCGTCTCTCTGCCACTAACAGAAGCCCACCCGATGACCACAGAAGCACCCACAACCGATCCCGTCTCCATCACTTTGAATTTAATCTTTATAGTAATGCTAGTTTAGGTTTGATTGTTGCAAAGAAAGGAAACAAAAAATTGTTCTTCTTTTCATCTGATTGCCGCAGACTTTTCTTCTACAGTCTAGTGTTGTCTAGTGCTAATTGTTTTTTTGATTTGGTATAAGTGATATGTTTGAAAATCTTATTAGGATAATGGTTGAATGGCTTCTTTTGTGATGTTGTAGGATAATGGTCATGATTGTCTTAGGTAAATGGTGATTATGTGTTTGTATATTAGCCATTATGGAAATGGCCATTT